AAAACTACAAGCGCATCGGGGCCATCAACAGTTATACCATAACCAACGCGTACGGTGTCGCCTACCCAATGTCATTGATGGCCCTCAACGGCAGCTACCGCTGGAGCAGTCAAACCTCGTACAAGATGTACTGGTCACTGGCCAACGATCTCTCTGCGATTGCGTCCAACACCAGTGGTATCGGCGGTCTCAGTCTCTTGCGAACGAGTCCTCGGTTCGCCTTTGCCAACACGTCGCTGCAAGCCGTCTTTACGACAAACTTGACGTTGATGTCGCCACTGGCCAACGGATTCGCCCTTGTCGCAGCGACGCTTGGCCCGTTTGGTGTCACTGACATGGTGTATGTACGCGTTCCAGCAGCCGTTAGCAGCGTCTTTCGCGACATAATTCAAATGACACGCCTCGCTATGGCCCCGTCAGTCCACGCTCAAGCCGCCTACAACCAGATCACACCACTCGGCACGTCGTACCCGATTCCGAAAAAGTGGCTCACACCCAACTACGGCTCGCTTGGCGGCTCGCCGCTCTGCCAAGAGCTCATTGCTAGCAAGGTGGTCTCCGGCGGACTCACTTGCATGCCGTCTTATGACCTACCGTGTCTGCCAACGTCGCCCGTGCAGAGCAAGGTCCTGCCAACGCGCCAACACTATATCGTGTCGGCGATTCTCTCGGGTCTTGTCGCATCACCGCCCAGTGACTGCCGCTCCATCTGCTCATTTGACCCGGCGTATCTCGCTCTTTGCCTCGTCTACCTCAACCAAACCATGTACTTTCTCCAGACGTACATGCCAGACGCCAACGCATCGTTTGGCTCTGTCGCGGCGTCAACCAACGCCCTTGTCCACAGTCTCAACATTGAGTTGATGATTTTTGCCAAAGTCAACGCGTCGGCGCCGCTCGGGCTGCTGCACACCAATATTCTCGACCCAAGTGAAGTCGGTTTTGGCTTTCTCGCGTGGACGTATCTGTACGACTGGGTCGTCGGGAATCGCGAAGTGATTTCGTTTCAAGGCGACAGTGGGACGCTCACTCTCTTGACGGACCTCCAACTCCCGCTGCTTCAGCAAGCGCAGCCGTGGATGCTCACGCAAGCGTTTGCCACGTACTTCCAAGCCGCAGTGCTATTTGTGACGCTAATTCTGCTTGGTCTTGCGATTGCGACAACATTGTACATGGTTCTGAGCCGCGGGCACTTTGTGGGCTTGAACATGCTCAAGCTCGATCGCGTCGGGGGCATGGTGTGGGTCGGCCGGCCGCTTTTGCTAGTCCGCAGCCTCACGGCCCTCTGCCTCCTCTCGACGGCGCCGCTCACTTTGCACTTTTCGGGCTATCTATCAATGTTTCAACTTCCGACACCGCCGATCTTGGTGCGGCTCTTGGCGTCGTGGGAGGTCACGTGGCTGGCGGTAATTCTGGACGACGTGGCACTTCCGTATACGCGCGAGTATGCGCGGTACCACGGTTTCCTCAACTGCGTCCTCTTGTGGTTGACCGTGGTCGTTGGAGCGCCACCGTTTGCGCCGACTTGTGATGTAAATGCTGCCTGCTCTGTGGATGAAATGGATTTTCAAGTCGTTTGCAGAAGCAGCCGCCTCGAAGTCGGGCGTCTCGACCGCCTCTTGACGCTTTTGCTCTTGGTGCTTGTGTGCCATGTGGTGTCACTGGCGTTGACGCGCTTTCTCCTCGGCACGCTGCCGACATGTTGTGTCGACTCGGCCCATTTCAGTGCCGGCGCCAAGTACTATTTCAGCCACCACGGCCAGATACGAGGTTCCCTCTACGACATCGACCGTGCGTCTGCCGTCCTCAACGGGTTGCTCACGGTGCAGATCGGAACGACCTTCTTTGCGCTCGACGTCAAGCTATGGCGCGTCGCATCAACGCCGATTCGGACCAACGTCACACGCGGCTACCCCCTCCGCACTGTTGAAAATACCATAGAATATACGTAAACCAGGCGAGATGTCCGTATTCTTGACGACCAAGTTTCCCTTCGTCGTGGCCCTTGGCGTGTAGGTGGCCAGGAGGAATGACCGGTCACGTGACACTGCTACGAGATCAAACATTGGCAGACCACCGGGGTTTGGAGTCCAAGCACTGACGGCCAACTCCCATGCATCCAGGCGTAGCGCTACGTATGCGAAGTCTTTGTGTCATAATGAAGATAACGCGGAACACGTTCATACATACATATAAGCACTGACGGCTTGTGGAGCGTCTCCCATTAATTGAATACTTATCTTTGGTTTCGAGATCAAATTGTTGACAATAATGTTATAATTCAATGTGTCCCAGGCCAGCACTCGACGGTGCAGTCTACATTGAATAGACTACTATTACTATTCCCTCGGCCCAAACTTTGACGAGCGATAAATGTTTTCGATGTGAATTAAAAATGGGCTGAAGCATCGAACCGACGCTGAGACGACGAGCATTGCTACGACAAGTCAACGCAGGGACTCAGTAGCAGATGGTGACGAGAAGCCCTTCGTCCGAGTGGCAGTCGCGCATCTTCTTGGCGTCGTCGAACGGGTAGAGGTAGGCATCCGGGCACTTGGGGTCATTGCACTGGACCATGCCGCAGTTGTACAGGTGGTTGTTTGCGAGGTTTTGCGGCTCGACCTTCATGGGCACGTTGTAGCCCTTCTTGCCGCTCTTCTGGCACTCGTCCCAGCTCTGGCCATCCCCGCACTACTTCCGAGGTCAACCAATGACAGCAAAAGAGATGGTGTACGTTGGGGGTCACGACGCTGAGGTCGTACCAGAACTTGCCGCCGTCGCGACTGCACTCGAACACTACACGAGACTCTTTGAGCTCGACCATCGTCATCCTGAGAAGGCGTACAGGTGGCTTCTTCGGACCGGCCGACGCGGAAGGTGCCGCCGTGGAAGGTGCTGCCAGCCACGTCGAACGTCGCCTTGTCACTCATCGTGTGGTAGTACGTCGTGAGCGCGTTCCCGACGCGAAGCGTGTACATGATGTCGATCGACTTGCCGCAGCTGTTGACCAGCCGCACACTTGCCTTGGGCATCTGCGACGACGGACTCGGACTCGGACTCGGTGATGGCTGCGGTTGTGGTTGTGGCTTGGGCGTGTCGGGGCTCGGCGAGGGCTTGGGTGCATCCGTGCTCGGCGATGGCTTGGGCGTGTCCGGGCTAGGTGATGGCTGCGGCTTGGGCGTGTCAGGGCTAGGCGACGGGTGCGGCTTAGGGCTGTCGCTACTAGGCGACGGGTACGGTTGGGGGCCATCGCTGCTCGGCGATGGGTGCGGTTTGGGTGCGTGCGAGCTTGGCGTTGGAGCATCCGGGCTCGGTCTTGGGGTGGACGGACACGGCGTCGGGCGGTGGCTAGGTCTGGGTGTCCATGGCATCGGCGTCGGCTTGTCCGAGTACGCCTCTTCGTCATCGGTATGCGACGGCGTCGGCGTCGTCATGTTCCGTGGCGTGTGCGTCGCATTTGGCGTCGTCGCGTCGACCGTTGTCTCTTCCGGCGTTGGTGTCGTCGTCGTCAGTGGCGTCGACGTGGGCACTGTTGCAATGCTGTCGTCGGCGGCACTCGGCGACGTCGGCGTCGTCGACGTCGGTGTCGGCGTGAAGGCCGGTGCGTTGCCCGAACCTTGGTTCGATTCGGTGGTAGCGGCAGAGACAGCGATCGCCGTGACGACGCCGAGCGTCACGAGCACGAGACCCGCGAGCACAAACCACGCGCGACGGCGCTTCCACCACGTCGCCGAGTTGGCGTCCTTCTCCACATACAGCGGGTCGTCGTCGGTGATGCGCCAGACCGCGATCTGGTCGTCGGTGCGTGCCATGGTGGCTGGAGATTGCAAAGTAGAGACTGGCGACGCTCGTGTCGGTGGTGGTAGCTGTGGTGGTGCTCTTGACTCTGGATATCGCTTTCGTGGACTGGCTTTGCATACAAACATCAAGTATAAAACCATCGGGCCGCGTGATACACAAGAGGCGGGAGGACATATGGCATACGTGGCAGCGTGCCATCGCAGCTTTTGTATCGCCACGCGGTTTGTGAGCTTCAAGATGGAATCGCGGATACGGACGTCGCGGCGTCGTCATCCAGTGCTCCAGTTCCTATTGCTTTGACAGAGGAAAGGGCAACTAATGAGTACACTGTGCCACCCACGTTCGCAGTCGAGAGGCGGTCACGCCCCACACTACAAGTAGAGTACGGCTCAGCGACCCACTTGGCAGCAACAAAAGTTGGCACCAAGATCGACGCATCGAGCAAGCGTTGCACGCGCGTGATCACGACCCCGCCGCGTCGATGCATGTCGCCAACGAGGTAACTTGTAGAAGAGGTATTAACATTGGGCTGGACAAGAGTCCATATTCACGTTTCTGGGATTTCGGGAAGATGCCGGAACGGCCGCGGAATCGCGCATCGACGTCGATGGACTGGATGCAACACCCCAGTCGTCCGTGACGCAGCTCCTTTGGCTACCCGATACCCGATCGAACGGCGATTCAATGGGGTGCCTTGGCGTCCCCACGCAAATGGCCACCAAGGCCCGCCACCCAGACAAAACAAAGCCCGTCGATAGGATTGGTCAAAATTCAGCGACGAGGCAGGCGACGATTGGCCCCTGGTCAAAAAATGGCTGCGCGAACACCAAATCGTGTGAAAGTGGACATTAAGACGTTAAATAGTGTACTCGATGTCAAGGTGCAGTGCTGCAGCATCCACTTACAGGTACTTACTAGTACCGTTGGAACCGAATCGAATGCTGCATTCGCATGGACGAACGGCAACATGAAGCGAAAAGGCATTCGCCACACGTCTAGAATCAGCGCTTATGCAATGAGCGTATTTTCGAGTCGTACTCGTACATACATAACGAGCTACTTGCGTCGTCGAGCTGAGGAGGTCCCCGACCCGTCGCCGGATGCAACGTTGGGGCAAGGCGGTGTGACTCCGACGCCAGAGTCAAGAACGGAAACACAAGGCAGCCGTCGAGGCGATCACCATGTCGACCTCGACATTCGAGATATTGTCATGGCTTCGAGCGCCGTGGCCAAGCCAGTGACCAAATCAGATATCGAGACTGACGCGTAGCTATCCTTGTTGCCACATTGCAGTTGCGAGCAACTAGCAGTAGAGCAGTGTCCCGTCCGTGCTGATGATATGTGGCAACTGCCACTTGCTGGTGTGCTGCACGGCCCCCTTCAACGCCAAAGTGGCGATGCAATTTGATCGCATTTTCAGTCTCGTCGGTGGCGCGCAGCATTTGCAAGGCGATGGCCGCCACCGAGTTGTCAGTGACCTCACTAACTGAGGTTGCACAAGAGCACTCGTCTTCAAGCAGAACGATGGGCGCGTCGGAGCCCGGTTTTCTTTTGGCGACTTCAAAAGGAGTTTGGTTTGCGTACGACTACGGTGGACTGTGGTGCGTGAACCTGAATCCGTAGCGTCAACGACGGGGTCAACCCGCGCCGTCGCCTCGACAAGCTCGCAACGTACGGCAAGCGCACGACGCAGTCGACGACGATGCTGCGCCGATCTTCATTCCGTTGATTGCATCGGCCAGAGGTGACGGCGACATAGACTTCTGGAGCTCCATTTGCAGCATGCACCAAGATGGCTCGAACGTACACGAGCGGCTCGCTCAGTGTCTTTTGCGTCTGAAGACAAGGCGACTAGATGACCAGCCACGAGCTGCAGGATGCAAACCCTTGGCCTCGCGGAACCTCAGGCGTGTTGATGTCACATCCATGTGTAAACAACAAACATACCTTTTCCTGGAGACCTGTGATGCTACAAGGGATATAATTGTTATTATATCCCTTGGGTGCTATCACGGCCATAATTCGGCCTTGGATCTCAACTTGATGGAGCCGCAAGATGTGCTTGGGAGGATGTTTCGATGAGGAAGCCACGGAGCTGGAACGAGCTCAGATTGGAATGGCACCAGATTCCTTATCCCCCTCCCTTTTTCGCCCGAGGTGCACCAAGCAGCTATCATTGCATGGGCTGTTCCGCAGGTGATTCTGCCTCCTCGGACGAGCACATCTTCCTCCTGGCATCAAAGTGACCCATCAAGGATGCCGCATTTCTCGTCCCGACTGCGAAATGTCAACAATGTGCGAAACGTGAACAATGTGTGAATCGTCACACGTGTGTTTCCCACGTCGCCACGCACCCCCATTCCCGTTCACAACCACAGCTCTGCACAATGTAGTCGTTCTTGTCATCGCTAAGCAACGACATTTTGCATCGTCCCCCACGGCCATCTAGGCGCCTCCGGCTCCGCAGCAACACTCTGGTCATGACAATGGTCGGCATGCGTGGGTGGCTTCGTTTCACACCTGATAATGGCGTGCGAAACCACGGTGCTTTTTGGTCAAGTCCGTGTGTCACGCTAAAAGGACAGCGAAAATCCATCTCCGCCAATCACCATTGACATATCGGATCATTTCAACCAATCACTGAATTCTTCACCATGAGTCACAAACCATCGCACTTTTCTGTCCGAGTGATATCCATTCGAAAATTCGCCTTCCGATGACGGCCAACCGCGAGCACTCGCCGCTGCTGGCCGCCCCGAGCCAGGCGCCGACCGCCCCAAGCCTAGCACCGGCGACAGGCCCGACCCGGCAGGTCTCGCTCGGCGCGAAGCAGCGGCCCGTCCAGGAGGTCCATCCGCTGCCGTGGTTCCGTAGCCCCGAGCTCTCGATGAACAAGGAGAAGGCGCGGCTGCATCTGAAGCGCAAGCAGCAGGCGCTCAAGGCGCCCGAGCGCTGGTCGTGCGGCCGCTACTTTGGCTCGCTCGGCAGTGGCGAGAAGTGCGTCCACCTCCTCGTGCTCGTCATACTGATCTTTACGATCGTGGTCATTCTCTCCATCTTGTTTGCGCCCGACGCCAGTACCGTGCCGCCGCCCCGCGCGCTGCGATGGGACGAATGAAGGCGACGGAGCGCGCGACGACGGTCTAGTCGTACGTTGTCTGGCGTATATATATATCGTATGCAGTACATGATGGTCCATGCGCTCGCGGCCAATCGCCCGCCCCACGCCACCCCGGCCAGGCGACCAGACGTCATCTGTGTAGCAGTGGACGGAGCTAGTGGTAACTCGCAACACGGTCATCTTCAGGGTCATCTTCATGCATCGCTCTACGGACCATCCATGCTCCTCGTCGAAGGATTCCGTCGGCTGCATCGACGCGGCAAGCAAGTGCCATCCAATACGACGTGGCGCATGGCGCAATGTGGGTGACGCCCGCCTGCGGGCGCGGGCGCGGCCAGGCGCGCTCGCCTGCATGGGCTATACAACAGTCATCCTCTACGGTCGATGCGTTGCATGAAGGATGTCGAGGTGCGCAGCAGTGTACATGCAGGATGGAAGTTGGACTCAGATTAGCATGACCTAGCTTCTTCATGGACCTACGGCGTGCAGCATGCTCGTAGAGCGTGTCGTCGAGCGCCATGGGCCAGGTAAAGCATCAGGAAGGTACAATTCCTCATCGTCCGTCGATCCTCGTCATGTACATGGAGCCAATGTCTACCTACGCGTCGTGGTCCATGCGCCTTGCTGCCTCTTGCTGGATTCCTGAAATGACTGGTGCCGGAAATATTGTCAAACTCGATTGCCCGAAATACGTAGGCAACATAAAAGATCCAGGCACAATAAGAAAGCTTAGGCAAAATATATCTATCCTAACGTATCCGATACAGCCTAGGATTTATCCAAGGATCGATCCAACGCCACAGATCGATACTGGATTTGGAGATGACATGTATCCTAGTGTATGCAGTCTCAGAGGTTCTGGAAAGCATGAGCAACGAGCTGAGCGCAGCGATCCTGCGGCGGATCCTCGACGACGTCAAGGGCAGCGGGGGCACCTTTGGCCCCGAGCATGGCACGATGCTCATGGCCATCTACCACAACGAGCCCGACATGACCTTGTTCCAAGCCGCCGTCGAGCTCGTCGAGAAGAGCCGCGTCACGCGCATCACCGCGACGCCGAGTGGCCGCACCTTGGTGCGCGTCTCGGCGCCGTCGCACCATGGCGCGCACGCCATGCATATCTGCTTTGCGCACTACTGCTCGTGCGACGCCTTTCACGAGGCGACGGTGCACGGCCGCTTGACCATGGTACGCTTCCGAGGATCTCACTCTCGCCTCATGTCGACCCGGTAGTGCAAGCACATGCTCGCCGCGCTCTTGGCCGACGCAGTCGCCAAGATGCAGCAGGTGACAGTCGCCGACAGCGAGTTTGCCAACTTGCTCTGCTCGGACGACGCGACCATGTAACACAAGAAGGCTCTATTTATCGCTCCACCACGAGCTTGCTATCCATCGCCAAGCCCTTGTAGACCACGTCGCCACTGCGCATGGCCATAGCCCTACATGCACATGACGCCGTCGGCAGCACGATCTGTCCCTTGAGTGATGTACCTACATCAGGCACAAGGCAAGTGCTATGAGCGACCTTCTGTAGAGCTACCGCGACGAGGCGTAGCCGTAGCGACGTCAGGATGACGTCTCTTGCTTCCTGCATGGCTTCATGCCCGCCTTTGGATCTTGGTGCATTTTCGCCGTATACGCTGGCGCCGGGCCCCATGCTAAGAGGTTAGCACCATCGAGAATGTTCGTTTATATATCCGGTAGAATAATATTGTCTTTGACATGTCAGACAAGTTGTGCACTCGTGTACGCGCCCATGTCGCGCTTAGGTTTTTGCGCGGCAACGGCCACTGCATGCGTACGATTGGCTAAAATGGGCCTCAAAATATCGCAATGCCACTTGTTAGCCACTTGGATTGGGTAAAACGTTGATATTCTAGCCAATGAGCGGCGTGTATGCCCTCCATACGAACCGCGCGATTGTGGTTGGCTGAAATTCTGGTCGCCCAAGAGATCTCCCAACTCCACGTTTGGAAGCTGCGACCATGAAGCGGGACGAGCCGACGCCGGACGCGGAGACGCTGCCATGGGTCCGGGTGCAGATGGAAGGCCTCGTGGGCTCGACCTTCGACGCCTCCACGGAGGACCGCGATGGCCATGTGTGGTCCTTCCGCTGCATGCCGGACGACACAAGCGGCGACGTGCTCGTCGCGATCGACCGCGTCGATGCGACCATGGGCACGCTCTTCGTGCAAGCGACGCTGCAGCATCCATCACGAGACGCATCCCGGTATATCGTCATGGACGGCTCCTTGAGCGAGACGAGCGTCGAGCTCAAGCTCACGACCATGCACATGTTGATGGACCCGAGCAGCGGCTTTATGCATCCTGACGGCGACATTCGCATCGACATCGTGGTCTGGGACTGTGCGCCGTCGTCCAAGCGCTTCAAGGCCAGCGGTAGTGACACGACGAGCAACAGCAGCACGGTCGGCGACGAATATCTCGTCGACGAGACGTTTCTGACGGCCGAGAACCGGCTGGATCCATCCATCTTTGACGACGATGAGATGACTATCGACGAAGAGAGCCAAGCCGAAGAGAAGCGCTTGGTCGACCTCGCAACCAGCTACGTCATGCAGGCGCAGCAAGACGACGAAGAAGCGCAGGTACTTTTAGCGCGACGCAAGAAGGGCGCCGAGGACGACACTGTCGACCTCACCTTGCCGTCGTCGTACGACTCCAAGACGACGACCGGCATGGTCGGGCTCAAGAACCAAGGCGCGACCTGCTACATGAACTCGCTCCTCCAGACGCTCTTCCACATGGCGCCATTTCGGAAGGCCGTGTACGACACGCCAACGGCCGACGAAGACAGCGCGACGAGCGTCGTCTTGGCGCTCCAGCGTGTGTTTTACCGGCTCGAAACCGGTGGGTCTCGTACTATCAATGTATCAAGCGCAAATGCGATGGCTAGCGGACAAGGCCGTGAGCACAAAAGAGCTCACCAAGTCGTTTGGGTGGTCCCATATGGATGCGTTCACGCAGCACGACGTACAGGAGCTCTACCGGATTCTGTGCGACCGGCTCGAAGAAAAAATGAAGGGCACGCCGGCCGACGGTCGTCCATTCCTGCCATTTTTGGAAGTTTGTATCAATGTATCAAATCTAGGCTTGATCAAGGCGCTCTTTGAAGGCAAGGTCAAGAGCTTCATCTCGTGCGTGCATGTCCCGTGCGAGTCGTCGCGCGAAGAGTCGTTCTACGACCTCCAGCTGGACGTCAAGGGCCTCGTCAACCTCGATGCGAGCTTTGAAAAGTACATTGAAGTCGAGATGCTCGACGGCGAAAACCAATACGACGCCAAAGACTTTGGCAAGCAAGATGCGAAAAAGGGGCTTGTCTTTGAGAGCCTCCCGCCGGTCCTCAACCTCCAGCTCAAGCGGTACAGTGTCCTGATTTTGAGATTGAGATTCAAATGGACGTTGATTTTCTAGATTCGAGTACGATCCGCTGCGCGATGGCATGGTCAAGGTCCACGACCGCTTTGAGTTTCCAAAGCGATTGGACCTCAGCGCCTATGTGCCGGGAACGTCGCCGTCGCCCGTCTACCACCTCCACAGGTATATATATGGACATTATTGTCCATATATATGACGTTTGATGTAGCATTCTCGTGCACTCGGGCGACGTGCACCACGGCCATTACTATGTCTACGTCCGTCCGCGTCTGGACAAGGACTGGTACAAGTTTGATGATGACGTCATCTCGAGTGCGGACGAAGAGAGCCTCCTGGAAGGCAGCTATGGCCGGCCACCGGACGCGTCGTCCAATTCGCCGCTGAGCCGCGTCTTGAGCTGCAGCAGCGCCTACATGCTCGTACAAGCTCGAACATCGTCGCGTGGGCGACCTTATGGGTCCGTATGCTAGGTCTACTTGCGCGAAGATGCATGTCCGTCGGGTGCCGAGCCGGCTGTGATCCCTGACGCGCTCAAGGAGCGGTTTCAAGACGAGGAAATCGCAGTCCGCCGTCGCAAGCGGCTCGTCCAGCGGTACAGGCGCGTCCGACTCGGCTCGTCGCATACGCGCTGCGCCCTAGGGAACACATGTACTATCATTTGCGCATCGCCACCGACGAGTGCCTCTACACGTTTGACAACATTACCAAGTCCAAGGACTTTTGCGAGTTTCCGAAAACGGCCAAGTCCCCGCCGACGTCGTCGACGATGCTGAGCTTCAAAGTGCCAAAGGCGTGGACGGTCGGTCCTTCGCCAAATGCATAGGCGACCACGGAGACGGCGCGTAGGTGCGGCAGCTGTATGGCCTCGTCCACCTCGAAACCGGTGTCCCGATCGAGCATTTTCGGCTCTGGACGATGACAGCGCGCGAAAACCGGACCCATCGCCCGGACGAGCATTTGGATACGCACTTGGATGCAACGCTGCAGCGCGCCTTGCACGACAATGACGCGACGATCAACAAGATTGTGCCGTTGTACCTTGAGGTCGTCTTGCCCAACACGGTGCTGCGTCGGTACACGCTCGCCGACTTTGCGCCCATCGAGTTTGAGGGCAAAGACGCGGTCGTGGGCGTCGACGACGATGGTATTCCGGACGACGACATGCCGCCGGGCTTGCTTGCCTCGGTACGCTTACTGTTCGTGGTTGGACGCTGCTGACCGGATGTGGATGTAGGTCAATGCAGCGGCCGCAGCGCGCGACCCGATTCTAGACCCCCGCGGCTCGTTGCTGCTGTTTGTGAAATACTACAACGTGGGCGTCGGCGCGAGCCAACGGCCTTTGTCGTACATGGGCACGATGCTCCTGCACGGTTCCGACACGGGTAGCTCACTCGGGTTGCGGGATCGAATGTGGACATATTGTCTGTGTCTAGTCGCGACGGTGCTCCAGGGCATTCAAGACCACGCGTTTGGCTCACCGATTGCGATGGACTTGGCGCTCTACGAAGTCGTGCAGCCAGAGACTGTTACCAAGCTCGACGAACATGCGACGCTGGTCGACAGCGAGCTCCAGAGCGGCGACATTGTTGTGTTTCAAGTGGCCGTCGAGGTGCGCTGTCGATGGAGTGAATGTTGCGTCGACCGTGCCGACTAGGACGAGAACGACGACGACGACGACGACGCGGACGACGAGTCGATGTGTCGCACGGTGCCCGAGTACTTTGCGTATCGGCTCAACCGTGTGGACGTGACGTTTCGCGCGCGTTTTGAGAACGATGTGCCGACGACCGAGGTCTCGCTTCCGTTGCTGCTCACCGACTCGTACGACGACGTGATCCACTCGGTTGCGATTGCCCTCGACATGGACCCTCTCTTTGTGCGGCTGTATCCGCACTCGTCCCACACGCACGGCCCACGTGCCAAGCCGTACAAGCACAGCCGGAGCTCGGGTAATACCGTGTTTCTCGACGATGTGGTGTACAAGGCGGCGGGATAGGCTCGTCTGGCATCACGCTCAAGGCGATGCTCATGACGTCGTTTGACAGCAGTGCGACGCTGCTCTACTACGAACGCCTCGACGAGTCGATCGTCAACCTCGAGCGCAAGACGCATCTGCCCGTGTACCTCTCGCCGTACGAGCCGGCATTCGCCACGGACACGCTGAGCCGCGTCGACTTGATTTTGGAGCCGACGTCGACGGTGCAAGGCGCGCTCGCTGAAATCGCCCGTCGGCACGCGGTCGACACGGCATTGGTCGACTTGCGGTTGGCGACTTACTATCTGCAAACGCGTGTCGACTATCACAACGTATAGGCTGCTAGAGACGCGGGACGGGTCGACCATGCTCCGCATCGTGCCGACCGCGACACCGATCTCGCTACTGCAAGGCTCGAGTTTGTTTGTCGTTGATTCGATCCCCGCGACCCGCAAGCCGTTTTGCCAGTCGGTGGTCCTCGGTGTCATGCACTTCAGCTACACCCACGACACGTTCATTGCGCCGCACCACACGGCCGGCCTCGTCGTGGCCTATGACGACGACACGTTCGAGTCGCTTCGCCGCCGCGTCCAAGCCAAGTACGTGTCCTTGTTGACGTGGCTAGCTTGATACCTTGAAACATTGCTGTACTGATCTGTACCCCGTAGGTTCAAGGTCACGGACGACGTGTTTGCCAAGTGGAAGCTCTCGGCGATCGTCGAGAGTCGCGGGGTGCCGCTCGAGTCGGAGCCAGGTACCATGTTCGGCTTCGTCGTATGTGTTGGGTTGATATCGAAGTAGGCGACATGAACCGCGATGTGGTCTTTGACGAAGGCCGACTCGAGCTCGCCCGGGGCGACGGCTACTGCTTTCTCGGGCTCGAGTACGCAGCCACGATCGCACCGTCGCGCCGCCGGGCGGACGGCGGCATCAAGATTCGATCCGGGTAGATGTGGTCGTTCAATAGACCAACGATGTACGGTTGCGATGGCCGGTCATTATCTCGTCCTCAAGCTCACATTGGTGACGGTTCATGAACAACTCGACTCGCAACGCAGAGATAACATCCGACGTACTCACTCGAAGCTCGAGTTAATACCGTAGAAGGGTTAAATACGTTTGTCCAGCTATCGAGTCCTATTGCGGCGTCATGTACGTGTCGCCGTAGAGCATCGTGAGGTACGCATGCGTGTTGGCCGGACACCACGTGCTGCGGTCGTCAAACTTGCAGCGAACAAGGGGGAAGACCCAGTCGCGCGGTACGACAAAGTGGTTGGGCGCCGGGCAGTGCTTGCAGGCCCACCAGCACACCGAGGCGACGGGCGCCAGCACATCGATCGCCACAGTCGTGGTGGTTGTCACCTCGAGGTGCGTCGAGGTGTTGACGTTTGTCGACTCGACGTTGACGACCGCGTCCTTGGTGCGCAGCGTCGCGTGGGTGCCGCCGTCCACATGCAGACTCGTCGTTGTGTTGACTTGGGTATGGTTGATGGACGGGTGAAACTCGAAGAGATCGACGTAGAAGCCCTTGTGCTTGTCCACGAACCGCCCGGGGAGGTACGCGTACGGGCCCTTTCTGTACAGCGGACTCTTGTTGACAAAGAGCTCGTAACGGGACGGAAATGGGATAGGTGTACGCCGCAGCTTGGTAAACGAGTCGTGCGTCAAGCCAAAGTCGGCGTCCAAGTCGAACGGGATCAAGCCACCGTCGCGCACCGACCCAAGGAGTGAGCCCGAGTCGAGCCAGTACTCGATGCCGTTGGCTTCCAACCCGTCGAGGAGCGTGTACACCATGGTACGGATCATGGCCCTCCGGTCCTCGACCGTGTAGCAGTCGGTCTTGTTGACATACTCGACCGAGAGGTGGCCCATCGCGATGACTGCGCAGTCGATCTTGCCAGCAGGATCCTTGGGAAAGATGTTGCCCCACTTGTCGGTCGGAAACGGCGTTGGTGTCGATGGCAGTGTCGGTGTTGGCGTCGACAGCAGTGTCGGTGTTGGTGCCGGTGTTGGCGTCGGTGATACCGGCGGGGTGGTGTTGGTCAATGGTGTCACTGCAGTGGTGGCGGTGGGCGTTGCCGACGACGCGATCGGGTCGAGCTGCAGTCGCGCATGGCGGACCATGGGTGGGCGGGCGGGTGGCGCTGGCACCTCGGCCGTCAAAGTCTCCTGGAGCAAGCTCATCGAGAAAAGCGACGTGAGAACGAGGACGAGCAGAAGCACCGGCGTGCGTACGCTGTCGTCCGCTCGATTGCGCAGATTCATGTTCAAATGGCACTTGAGAAATGATGGTCGACCGCGCGCACAATCCCAAACAGGTGCTTCGACAGCACGTTCACCATGATCGAACGACGTGGACATCGGAGCCATGGCATCCATATAGTGCGTGGTCCACAAGGCCATATCAACTAGTCGGCGTATCGTCATCAATGCCAAGACACCGTTGGTCGCCGTGAATGCTGCCATCCTCGATTCGATACCTCGATAGTCCAATTGTTTGGTTGCGTTTGTAGGCGCGTATGGCCACCGTCTCGGTCGTTATGGGCGCTTGCGAATTTCGGTCATTCTATATATGGTCGATACATATCCATATAGAGCAGCCTCAGTATCCATGTATTGGAAAATATGGTGGTTCTTTTTTGACGCTCTGAAATTGCGACACATCGGTCAGACGATCTTGGATGCAGTGGCGACGGGTTTCTTTGACTTGGTGTTTGTATGTATCGACGTCCTCGCAAAGTGTGTAATGGATCACAAAATGTCCGACTTGATTAGCGCTTGCCTCGGACTATGTTGCTGTTCCTTTGGTTGTTCCTTATCAAATTGGTCCAACTTTTGTTCCGCAAGTGCAGCTAACCTCAAGGGACGACATTTGCTGGCTTACAACCGATACAGCCGGCAGATCCGCGTCTCCGCCAGTGTCTCTGCCATTCATTGTGGGAGACCATGCTTGCCAAGCCGTGCTCTCCGCAGCCTCGGGCGCTGCGACTTGCACAGACCTCACTAGAAGCTCAATCTCAAAACCATCTACTTCGACAAAAACATCCGATGTTGTTGAGGTTGAGAGGAGGGTTCGACCACTTCTTTCACGGTACCGGGTCTTGCATCGGACTCGTTCTTTAAAGGGATACGAATATGCCGATAGCAGGCCCAAGCCAAAGGTATCCTGAGTGCGAAGAGCTCATCAAACGACACGTATGTACAATCGATCCAAAGATTTGTTGGCGTGCATTTGCATGCTGGGGGTCGACCTCGCAAAATGCACCGACAGTCAACCAATTGAACGCTTCTGTGACGGCAAATTACGGTAAAAACGAACTCGAGCGAGGCTACGACGCACTGTGCTTGAGCGTCATAAAGTCGTTGCCGTAGAGAACTTGAAGGTACGCTGTTGTCTGGTGTGGGCACCACGTCATGCGGTCGTCAAATTTGCAGCGGACAAGCGGAAAGACCCAGTCGCTTGGGACAAGAAAGTGCATTGGCGCCGGGCAGTTCTTGCACGCCCACCAGCAGTTGGAGGCCGCGGGGCCCAGCATTGGCACCTCGACCGTCGTCGCTTCCTCGAGCTGCGTCATCGACGAGTTGGCGGCTGGCAAAACGACGTGCTCGATCCGCTTTGTCGACGGCAAAAACTCAAACAAATCAATGTACAGTCCCTTGGTCGTGTCGGTGAAGCGCCCGGGGAGGTACGGGTACGGGCCGCGCCGATAGAACTGACTGTCGTTGACAAAGAGCTCGTAGCGCGATGGAAACGTCAGGTTGGTTCGCCGCAGCTGCGCAAACGATGCCTGCGTCAAGCCAAAGTCCGCGTCCAAGTCGTGCGGGATCAAGCCGCCGTGCCGGACCGACCCGAGGAGCGTGCCCGAATCGAGCCAGTACTCGATCCCGTTGGCGTCAAACGCGTCGATGAGCGTGTAGACCAACGCGCGGATCATCTGCCGACGATCGTCCTCCGTGTAGCAGTCGGTCGGGTTGATAAAGTGCTCGACGAGGTGGCCTGTTCGAAGCGCGACGCACTTGATCTTGCCGGCCGGGTCCACGGGGTACATGTCGCCGGCCTTGTCGGTCGGCAGCCACGGCTTGGGCCCCAGCGTCGCCTGGACCCACGGCGCCGATGAAGCGAGTGCGGGCTCGGATGACGAGGGTGCGAGCTCGGTCGGTGAGGGCGACGGCGCGATTGACGAGGGCTCCGCCGTTGGCGCAGCCAAGACGACCTTGTCGGGCAGCTCGTTCGTCGGCTCGTCGGGCAGCTCGTTCGTCGGCTCGTCGGGCAGCTCGTGGCGCAGTGGACCGGCTTCGGTGGTCATGGTCTCCTGGAGGACGCTCATGGTCATGAGCGAGGCCAGCACGAGGAGGAGAAGCAGCGCCAGCGCGCGCTTCGGGTCCTGCTCGTCGACCAGCTTCATGCTGAAATGCCATCGGCCGCTGCGATCCGCAAGGTGCCAGGTCGTCGGCCATGCGTCCCAGATGTGTGGGACTGTGGTATGGATTGCTACGTATGTCAGATCCATAGACTCAAATATGGTATGGACGTTCTCCACCATATACAAGGCGATGCAGAAACGATATGACGACGCCACATCGTGGATCGCAGCCCTGGCAGCGGCATGGAAATATCTCCAAGGCATAGCATAGTGCATCGTATCGAGATGCGATGCTACTGAATAATATCGTCGGCCCATTTGCGCACGCGAAAACCGTTCTTGAAGCACCAGTCTCCTGGATATGGTCATCCAAAATCCATATAGGGGATTCAAATATCCACATGCCATTTGAATATGGTCCATGGCGTCCATGGGGTCAAAATTTAGGCAGATGGGACAAGAT